TATTTCCATGAAATTTAATACATTTGCTTATCAATAATTCTTTTGATATTGTAATTTGTGTATTAAAATAAGATATTATTATGTATGAGTAATCAGCTACGAATAATTTGAGGACAGGAAATCACTTATAAACCTAATATACACCTACACTGAAAAAATAAATGATTTGTCGTAATTACCTTCCAAGAACTAAGGAAGCTTTAAGGCTGGTGATGCAGCAACCGCACCGCATCGAAGAAGAAAAAGTTTTTTTCATATATATTCTAAAAAAAAGATCTACGGTGCATTTAAAGCAACTTTCACAAATTGTCGGCTGTTGGATGGATGATTAAAATTATTATTTTGAGGTGCTTCGTGCTTCAAAATTATTGACCTGGCTACTGGCTGTATTTACAGTTGGAGGTGTGATGGCTCGTTCTTCTTGTTCCTCTTCATAGTCAACAGTCATACAAATTTTAAAATAAAACTTGTGTATCATAATAATAATAATAACTCTTTCTTTGCTAAAAATAGGGTAATTACAATACTTAATACGTAATTACAATGAAGTAACATCCTTAGTACTCGCAATACTTGTGTTTAGTGTCCGACCGAATGTCCGGTTTCGGTTTCGGTGGAACCTACCGAAACTATGATCGAAATCGAAACTGCATTCTCGTGCCGTGATTGGTCATATTTGGCGCAGAAATTTCCATCAGCGAAAAAAATTCCGCGGCGATGAGTGGAACTAAAATGACAGATCGATTATATTGTCGTTTGCACGTGTTGTACATACATACATACATGTATTTTGATTTGCTAGTTATGTGTATTTTACTATTGAATTTGGTATTTTAATAAGTTGCATTCTTTTTTGGATTCCATCTAACTGGTCAAATAAACACCTCTTATATTTAGTACTTTAAAAGCACAATTATTTGTTCCTTAATGAGGGGATTGAGAGGTTATTAAGTATGCTGATTATCAAGATGAAAATGTCTAAGACTGGATAGCTTTGTGATTTAATGATAAGAAAATACAGACTGACTGATTATAAAAATGTTTTCTTTATTTTTCCCTCAAAATATAATCTTTGTAAGAAAATTTCGGTTTCGGCCGAAACGATTTCACCGTTGCCCGAAATTCGGTTTCAGTGAATAGAATAGAAAATTCTTTATTGTTAACATTACACAAAGTTACATTAACAAATTTAAAACATTTTACAATACAATGTAACAATTGGCGGCCTTATCGCTTAAAGCGATTTCTTCCAGGCAACCATGGGATGGAAAGAGAGATAACAATTTATGAAGACGGGGGTGTGTAAATATTATCAATAACATTAAAAAGAAAAAATGTTCAAAAATATGTAGTGAATACATTCATAATACAAATATATCCGATAAATACGTAATATACATACACACATACATACAACTACATAGATAAACTTACATAAATATATATAATATATATATATATACACATATATATTATCAATACCAGGAATAGTTATACTCGGCAGTAGCAGGATATTTCATTGTGAAAGGTAGAATTCCTTTACACTATTTTTAAAAATTTGCAAAGATTTCGCTTGCCTTATCGAAACTGGAAGGGAATTCCAGAGACGAGCAGCTTGTACAGTGAAAGAAGAATCGTAAAAAGAAGTACAGTGAGATGGAATCTCAAGACTCAGGCTCTCGGATGATCGCAATGTGTAAGAATTTGTGCAGTGCAGGAAACTGAAACGTTCTTTGAGATAATGAGGGTAAGTGGGATTGAACAAAATATTGTAGAGAAGAGATAATAATCGAGAATTCCGGCGAAGTCGTATAGGAAGCCACTTGAGTTCACTGCGATAGTTGGAAACATGGTCATATTTGCGCAAACCAAATATGAATCTGATACAGAAGTTTTGAAGACGCTCAAGTTTATTTAGCTGGTCCTCCGAAAGATCAAGGTAGCAAGCGTCAGCGTAATCGAGAACAGGAAGCAGCAGAGATTGCGCTAACGCAACCTTAGTGGTAGTGGGCAAGAAGTTACGCAGTCTCCTCAGTAAAGCGGCAGAAGCATATAACTTGCGACTGATAGATTGAAGCTGTGGACCCCAACCCAGATGGCCATCCATTACCACCCCCAAATTTTTTACTGTTTGACTAAAAGGAATGTCAACCCCCTCAAAAACAACTTTCGGAAGTATCTGCGTATCAACTCTGGAAAGTAATCTAGAGCTACCTACTATCATGGTTTGGGTTTTAACAGGATTGACGCTAAGACCAAAAGCTCTACTCCATTCTGCAATGAGTTGGAGGTTAAAGTTAGTGTTTGCTATTGCCTCATTTAATCTAGACAGCGGTGCTTCGCAGTAAATTTGGAGATCGTCTGCATAAAGGTGATAGGAACACGAAAGATTATGAGAAATAGAATTAATAAAAATTGCGAACAAGAAAGGAGATAATACGCCGCCTTGGGGTACGCCAGCTTTCGTGTCACACCATGAAGAGAAATTCTCATTAAGGCGGACCCGCTGCCTGCGCCCATACAGATAACTGTGAAACCAATCAATTACCGTTGGAGATATGTTAAGTAAGCGCAGCAAGGCAAGAAGTACATCGAAATCGACCGTATTAAATGCGTTGCTGAAATCCAATAATGTTAGTATTGTCAGATGGCCATTTTCCATCGCAAGACGAATATCGTCAGTAACTTTCACGAGAGTAGTTGTTGTGCTATGACCAGATCGGAAACCGGATTGGAGAGGATTCATTAGGTTATGCCGAGCAATATATATACTGAATTGTTGATGAACAAGACGCTCCAAGACTTTAGATAGGAAAGGAAGAATAGATACAGGACGGAGTTCGTTAAGAAATTTGGGATTACTAATTTTGGGTAAAGGGATAATTTGAGCTTCCTTCCAAGATGAAGGGAATGTGGAATTAGAAATGGAACTGTTGAAGAGAAAAGTGAGGACAGGTAGGATGATGTCAAGGATTGGAATCAACATATTGCGACTGATGCCGTCACTACCAACTGCATTAGAGGTGATTGACAGCACACACTTCTTAACATCACAATCCGCTAATTGATCAAGAAAAAATTGAGAGTGATCTAGGGTTGGTAAAAGAGAAAGACGGTTTAAAGTATAACTTTTGTCGATGTCCTTAATAACAGACGAAGAGGAAAAATAGACATTAAGAGAGTCAATATTAAAGCTGCTAGGGATGGAACACTCTTTTGATTTACCAATCCCAAGTGACCTGAGAAATTTCCAAACTTTTGCTGGATCTTCGTTCTCAACTGATTTATGGATATGGCGACGTAATGCATCCCTACACACCAAATTGCAGCGATTTCGAGCTTTACTGTAGACCTCTTTATTATAAGCACTTGGACGTAATTTATATCTAGTTTTAGCTACCACCTTTTTATGCATTAGTGATTTAATGTCTTCAGTAAGCCACGGTGCAGGCAAGTGTTTTAATTTGATAGGTCGGCAAGGTGCATGCTTGTCATACAACTGAATGATCAGTGAGTTAAAAGCTTCAACTTGTTTATCTACGGTTTGAGCGTCCAATACTGGAGACCAATCAATACTTCGAGCGTCGTCAAGAAGTTGTTCGCGATTTATACCACTAAAGTTGCGCTGAATAATGACTTTGGGTTTAATTTTAGGAGGACGAATTTTATATGATACATAAATAAGGTCATGATAAGAAAATGCATCGGCCGAACATTGACCATGCTTTGCAACATGCTGTGGAGATGAAACTATAGATAAGTCAAGAAGAGAAGGCGTAGAGTTAGGAAAATGATGAGTAGCACTAAGTGGAAGTATGTGCATGTTGCTTGAGTTGATAACTCTATGAAGAGAAGAAGTGCGGTGGTCATTTTTTAGGAGGCAGGTATTGAAATCTCCCATAATAATGGAGTGAGTAAAAGAAGGAACAAAATGATCCAGTAATCTCTCAAAGGTATCAAAATAGTTAACACGCAGCGAAGGGCTATAATAAACTCCGAGAAGAATTTTAGTATGTGATAGAATAACTTCCACCAGTAGATGCTCGCCCGCATCGGGTAACGGTGGCTGAGGAGAGGTGCTAATGATATTGACAGGAATATTATTTCTTAAATAAATAGCCACTCCACCACCAACAGAACCAATGCGGTCATTTCGTATGAGACGAAATCCGGGTAAGGCGTAAGAGGAAGAAGATAAACATGGTTTCAACCAGGACTCGGAGATTAGTACAGCATGAATATTCTTATGGTGAAACGACGCCAGCAAGTCAGGGAAATGAGCCGGAATACTTTGCGCGTTGATGTGAATTACATTGAAATTATTTGGAACATCAGAAAACCGAGCCTCAAGTGTGTCAGAAAGTGAAGGCAAACTAGAAAAACTATCATTATTGCTACTACTGTCGTCAGCAGATGACAATGACAGGTATGGGTCTACGTCACTGCCAGATGAATTTGACATAATAATAAATATTATATATATATAATAATAATAAAATAATAATAAAAAAACAAAACACACACAATTACGATATCAATATCACTATCTCCACCCGCCGGTTGCAGTGTTAAGAACAATGATTATTTAATAGCAAGGTTGCGACAGCAATACAGAAAATAAAGTTAAATAACAGGTCTGATACTTGGCCAAACAAAGTAAAAAACAAAGATATTACATTAAAATGAGGAAAAAAAAAGAAAAAAAAAAGCAGTCGATAACAAGACAAGACACAAATAAATATTACTTTAAAATAGGCTGTATAGCAAAAATCCCAACGCTTAAACAAACAAATCACATATTCTGACCTGTCAATGTCATTTAACTTGTAAACAGTCATTTTCAACAGTGAAATTTGTCACAAAAATATAATTAAACAAAAAGAACTTTATCGTAAACGAAGTGAGTGTATAGTAAAATTAAAAATTTGTGACTGCTCGAAAAAGTTACGCAAATGAACTTACATGGTACAAAGACCTGTGATAAATAAATAAAACAGACTTCACTTCTTGCTCGCGACACCAGCACGCCTACTTTTCGTCGTGATCACAGGTTTCAACGGGAGGGGAACCGTGGCTTCCTTAGCAGTTTCCGGTGTTAATTCCACTGTTACAGTAAGCTTCTTCAACTCCTCCATGGAACTGATGCGCGTGCGCTTCCCGTCGGTACCAATTACCATGACAAGCCCTTGCTGCGTAAAGCATTTATGAACACCAAATGCGTCACGGGCTGCCATAAAAACGTCGTGCCTCGCCTTCGTAAGGAACTCAGATATAGTAATCCCCGACTTTTTGAGCGCCGTCTTAGCGAACCAGATCTTATCCCGCAATCTGATGTCGTGTACTTTCAAAAGAATGGGTCTAGGCTTACCATTCCCAGAAGCACGCCCCATACGATGACACTTGCTTATACTGTCGACGGTGAACTCGGTAATTTTTAACCGATCAACAATAGCATTGGTTATCACAGCTGCAGCGTCCTCATCCTTCACCTCAGGCAAGCCATGACACAAGAGCATTTTTCGCCGGGTCCGCATTTCAATATTGTCTACCTGATGCGCAAGGAGACCCACTTGTTGCTGTAATCCTTGTAGTACTGTCATGATAAAGGACCGAAATGCAGCGAAATCACTCTTCAGATTGTTGATGTTTGGGGACGGGGATGCAGCCTGAAGCTCACTTTGATATTCATCCATTTTTCCAGTGAAGTACTGTTGAAGTTCGGCCATGGATTCTTGAATAGATTTCATTATGATGAAGTGTACTGAGACAATTGTGACTTGTAGTATTGGGGAAGAGAGATCTTGTGGATAACACTCACCGGCAGGTATTGAGTATCAGTTATTAATATTTCATTAAATTTATATTTGAAAATTAAATTTTAATATTAATATTATTTATTAAATTATAAGGTGTTCAAAATGATGTTTACTTTGCTACACCTCTTTGTTCCATAAAGTTAATTTAAACAAGTAATAGAAGTTATTCGTCTCAATTTTACGTTGAGCCGAATTTGAAGAAGTTAATACTTAATTATTTTCTCGTGTTATCTCTGGCTATGTACTCTAAATTTTGCGACATTAAAATATTCAGGTTAGAGCAGGATAGATGACGAAAATTCCATTACATATTGAATGTCGCTTTTAAGAGTACAAGCTGCTAGTGTTATGCGGTGGCCGTGAGTGGTCGCAGCATTATTTGGTCCGCATTCTGGTTTTTGCGACAAGTTCCCGGAGGTTCGGCGAGGCCAGGTGTACCACCTACGTAGCGACCTCACGCATAATCACAATACAACAACAGACATCCTAAAACTATTACTGATGTAAAACAAGCTGATTAAGATACAGAAAGATTTGAAAATACGAATTGAAGTCATTAAGTATGTAGGTTTAACTTAATTATAAAAATATTCGTTTACTATGTATTGAATGTTTGCGTAGATTTCAGTGATTTTCTTTATTTATTTTGAAGAAGGAGACTTCAAAATTTAATAGATAGAATTACAGAAAAATATTCGAATTCACTGCAATCTGCTTCACGAATGTATAACTCAGTCAGCAATTTATCTTACTAAAATTTAACCAATATCAGTTTATTATAACAAAGAACTGTATTAACGTTTTTATGTCACAATAAAAAGTTTGTCAATATAAACCTTTAAAACACGAATAAAACGACACGAAACGACATAAAAACGAATAGAAAACGATACTGAATGAATGTTCAGTATCTATTAAAAGACATGTATTTAACTATAGATTCCAGTCACAATATCGGTAGTTGATAAGGGTCAAACTGAAAGTTCTTAGAAAATCAAAAACTGATTACATTAGCCAGTTATTAGTTTTATTATATCTTTTCAAAATATTGTCCATTCACGTCAATACACCGCTGCATGCGATGGAACCACTGGGAAAAGCACTTTGCCCACTCGTCCTTAGGGGTCTCTTCAATGGCATCGCGATACGCAGCCACCGCTTCTTCAGCATTCATAAACCGCTTTCCTTTAAGTTTTTCTTTAATTTTTGGAAATAAATAAAAATCACAAGGCGCGAGGTCGGGGCTATATGGCGGGTGACCCAGTAATTCAACGTTTGATGTCGCCAAATAGTCGATCGTTCGCTTGGCGGTGTGCGACGAGGCGTTGTCGTGGTGAAGGAGGATCCTACTGCGAGGTCGTTTCTCTCGAACTTTTTCCAAGACAAGTGGCAAACAATTGGTAGTGTACCATTCTGCAGAAACTGTTTTTTGATCCTCTAACACAATTGTTGCAAAATGACCTATCCTTCCAAAGAACGAGGCCACCATTTTTTTTCCCGCACTTCGATCTCTCTTCACTTTAGTTGGCAACTCCTCGAAAGGAAACACCCACTGAGCAGATTGTCTTTTGGTTTTAGGATCATAACAGTAAATCCAGCTTTCGTCACCTGTTAGTATGTCGAACACAGCATTTGAGTCACCTCCGTTAAATCTTTCAATCATTTTACGACACCAATCCACACGATGGAGTTTTTGAGCCTCAGTCAAATTATGAGGTATCCACCGGGCGCAAAGCTTCCTGACCGCTAAATGTTCGTGGAGGATTTTGTGCACTTGACTCATACCGATGCCTAAGCTTGTCCGAATCTGTTGATAGGTCACTCTTTTGTCAGTCTCTATCATACGCCGCACAACACAGATGTTATCTTCAGTCGTCGCCGTAGAAGGCCGTCCCTCACGTAAATCATCAGTGAGATTAGTGCGACCACGTTTAAACTCATTAAACCAGTTGTAAACAGTCGCACGAGATGGGGCTTCATCGTGAAAGGCCAATCGTAGTCTATCATAACTTTCTTGTTGACTTAAATGACATCGAAAGTCATAAAAAATCATTGCACGAAAATTTTCTCGTGTTAAATTCATGATGACGTGACACAGACAATTTTCAATTTGCCGCCAAATCGTAAAACAAATGACAAATGAATGAAATATATACTCAGTAATATTGGCAAAGAGTTATATTTTCAAATTTTGGCATTACTTTTTTTATTATATTGTTTATAAGTGGCCAGTTCTAAGAACTTTCAGTTTGACCCTCGTACGACCGTTGTACCTTTATTGTTGGATTTTCTCAAATCTTTTAAAACTTTATCTGTAACCATCATCTGCATTTCGTTCTTAACTCAAGGTAAGTACTTAATTCAAACAGTTTACATCAAAATACAGTGACATCCATGAATCTTGCGAAATTAACTATATTTAATGTAATTCACTTTTTAATTGTGTTTTCCTACTTGAGTATAATCTAGAGCCGTCTTATATTTAAACTATAGTTTTTTCAAACAATATTGATAATAATAAAACCGAGTCGGACTCGCGCACGAAAGGATTCCGTAACATCCTTATAATATATTTTAATTATTATGTATATTATATTTGCTCTTTGATAAATGTTTATATAAATTCTCTTTGTATGATAGGACCGTGCCTTTTTTACTGTTTGCTCAACTTGGCTATAATTTATGACTAAATACACTATTTTATTCATCTTTAGATTTAGGAAAAATAGCTTTTTTTTGTTTTATTAATATTATAGACGAGATAAATTATAGAAATAACCCATCATTAATGAGTAAGACCGCATTTGATGGCAGAGCGGTGAAATATAACTACAATCGGACGATATTATAACAACAGCACGCTGCCGCCATTTCTGAATAGCACATGGTTATTAAGATCCAGGTACGATCCAATGTTCCGTTATATTTTCTTTGTAGATCAACAAAAAAAAATAATAGCTGGAGTATTTTGTAAAATAACTTTAACAAACTGCTAGTATTATGTGCTACTTATAAATGCGTATTTTTCCAGATAGTTCTAATAATAAAATAAAATGAATCCTAACAATCCCTCTAATTACTAATTAATTGAGTTAAATGTCGGTCTCTCTGTGTCGGTTATAATTTACATTGGTCTATGGGGTAGTATCGTATACTGAGGGTGGAACCACCAATGAAAATGGACGTAAATCTCCAGCACCCTGCATTATAGTTGACGTTCATTAAAAATGAGCCTTTATGTAGAGTTGGAGGAAAGAGAAGGTATTTACGATATCTTGCAGATTTAGTGAACACTACGTTAGCTTGAGTACAGTTATTAGATGGGGTACCAATACACTCTAGTAGTGCATGTAATGAGTGACTGCACCGACATTCACCGATCATATTGAACTTTCTAATATTGATGTAATGATATCATCGATGAGCTCAATGGCCCAGCGGTTGCGTAGCGCGCTTGATCTGCGATGCGAATGGCCGGTCACAGGATGGATGACCGAACATTTATAATCAAGAGCTCCACCGTGCTTCAGAAGGCATATTAAGTATTTTACCCAGCTGCATCTGCAATCGTTAACATCCACTAATTCACACTGAGTCTACCTGGAGGGTCGTGACCCTGGCCGTGGTCTATTATTCCTATTCGATTCGATTCGATTCCACCCGCGGGGAGGGCCTGTACCCCTGCAGTGGGGACTTTAATAGGACGATGATGTTAATAATGACGTTATGGTTTTCATTTTTTTTATCTATTCAGATTTTGCTACTACATCAACATATTGGCTCCAATAAGTACAGTATTTATAGTTACATTTCAAACAGCTACTTTTAGCAGGAATCGCACTAATTACTTTTCGCAATTCACAATTTTACAAATTATAGCATTGATCAGTTATTACACGAAAACTAAGATCATATTTATTATATCTATACTATGTAGGTATTATATCTATACAGGCAAAAGTAAAATTAACATCGTTGGTCATGAAAAAAAATGACATCTCCGAGGCAATAATGTCATTATTACCCCAAACCATGCCATACTAATATCCAGATCAAAATAATTGTCATTGAAATGAAATGAAATGAAATGAAATGAAATGAAATGAAATGAAATGAAATGAAATGAAATGAAATGAAATGAAATGAAATGAAATGAAATGAAATGAAATGAAAATATCTTTATTCAAGTAGGCTATTACAAGCACTTTTGAATCGTCCAAAAAACTTTTTTCCCCTACCACTTGTTCAGGACGTCTTTTAGCTGACAAGAAGAACAAGCGAAAGAAACTTATCAGCTTTTTATCATAAGTAATGACATTTACATAAATCATGTCATTACCAAAATAATATGTATTATCAATTTATCACAATAGTAAATACAACTTTCAAAGTCTGTAGGACATAAGTTGAACATATAATTAGTCTTTATAGAACAAAGCGAAGGCTATTAATTCCATGCATTGCGATCCTTAAAATAATCATCAACTTTATAATAGCCTTTACTCACAAGTATATTCTTTACATGAATTTGAAATTTATTTATGGGTAGGTCAATTACATTTTGTGGAACTTTATTGAACATAGCAATACATTTACCCAGAAATGATCCTCTGGTTTTTTGAAGTCTGAAGCTTGGAACATTAGCAGTAGCACATGCCATTTGGAGTATAATAAGTTATACGACTCGTTCGTTTCTTTGTTTGTGGTTCGGACATCGAATCTAGAACAGAGAGGCCGGCAGACAGCATACTGTGCACCACGGGACGCGAGCTTGCATGCTATCAGCAGACAAATAATTAACAAGGTGAATATTGTAATTAGAGCGCATCAAGATATTAATGTCTACTTTCAGGTACTTATTAATCCAAAGGAGGAGAGAGATAGGCAGTTGTTTTTAAACCATTTAGATGGCAAATGGAAATCCCGATGAG